CCCCAAAACCCCAAAACCCCAAAACCCCGAGTATTAAGATTCGGTAATTTTTAAAGGTATATATATATATTTTAATTGAATAATTCACTCAAAAGAATTTTTTATAATATGATAATATAATCTCAATCTGAAAAAGGGAATCATTATGAATCTTTGGAGAATGCTGAAAGAAACTGCGGAATTTAAAGATAATCTGATGAATTAGATACTGACTCATTTTTGAGAGCATCAAATATAAAGTTATAAACAGAGGAGTAGCCTAGAAATATTGAGAGTGACAAAAAGAAGATGGGTCTTACTTACGATGAATCGCTGTTAGCAGCTGGTGGATTCGGTCGCTTCTAATGGTTCACAACTATTTTTATCACTATACTTTTCAACTCAAGTGGGCATCTATTCTATGGACTTGCATATCTTGAGTTATACCCAGCTTACATTTGTCCTTAAGATATTCCTAATTGTGATCATACTGACAAGTGTAGAGACCCATCAATTCCAATTGACTGGTCAAGTGATAAATCTCTTCATAATTGGGTTGAGAAATTAGATCTCACATGTTAGTTATAATACAAAATTTATAATTCAATATAGGTGCTGAACCATATAAAGTAGGTCTACTCGGATCTATGTATTTTGCTGGGTGGACTATAGCATGTTTAGTGGTTCCTCGAATCGGTGATTTATATGGACGCAAATGGATTGTTTTCTTCAGTTAATTTCAATCATTTTTGGTATATTTAGCTCTGATTTTGTCAAAAAATCTTGACTTTTCAATCGTGATGATGTTCTTTTTAGGACTTACTCTAGTTGCAAAGGTTGGTACATCTTATGTTTACTTGCTAGAAATGGTACCCTAAAGATATGCCAATATAATATCTGTGTCTGTCTTTAGTTTAGATGGTTCTATTCTCATTTGGATTTCACTTTACTTCAAATTTTTGACTAAAGAATGGCTTTACCTTCTAATATTTGGAATTACAATGACTGCAATTTCAAATGTTTCTATGCTTTTAATGCCTGAATCTCCCAAGTATTTCTATAGTATAAAGAAATATGATTTAGCAAGATAAAGTCTGAGATATATTGCAAGATTTAACAAGATGCGGGAGTATGAGGATTGTGTTTTTGATTCTGAATATCAAGAAAAGATGGTTCTATCATCTAGTTCAAAAAATAATTAAGTAGATAAATTGATTGAATTAGATTAAGGTCGTAATAATCCTTTATTGTTACATTAAGAAAAGGAATTATTGAAAAATATTTAAGATATTTCGACAAAAAATAATGATGAAAGTGGCTTAAAAAAATAAAGTGAAGATAATAATCATCTTGATTAATCAATGAAAATGCTTTTGAAAAATAAGAAGAATGCAACTAATCTCCTGATTTTATGCTTTCTTTGGATAGCATCGTCATTCAATTTTTATTTGGTAAACTTTTAGATGAAATACATAAAAGGAGATATATACACTAACACAATTTTTGCTTCAATAAGTGAAATATTATCTTATATCTTTACAGGAGCAATGTTTAAATTCCTTGGCTTTCGAAAATCATTCTTTATTTCTTTTACCATTTCTATCATTGGATCAATTTTGTACTTGTTTCTAAAGAACAGAGCGGAACATTTTGTACCAATCATGATTTTGGTATCTAGATTTGGTATAGCAGCAGCCTTTAGTCTGGTTTATTTTTCAGTCACATTATTTCCAACATAGTATGCAGCTACTTGCATGGGCATTTGGAATCTTGCAGCTCGAATTGCTTCTATTCTAGCTCCTTAAGTTGCTGAAATGGAAGAACCTTTTCCAATTTACATATTTTGCATAATGTCTGGTATTTCAGCAACACTTTCATTATTTATTAGACTAAGTGCAAATAAAAATGACTAATAATGATTATATGATTTTTCTAATGAAAATTTTATGTATTTTATTAATATTTAATTTCATCATTAAAGTTGGAAATAAAATTTATGGGGTTTTGGGGTTTTGGGGTTTTGGGG